GTTTAACTAATAAATGAGCAGCCACTTTCCTACAATTCTGACGTAGAGAAAGGGGAAATGGGAGACTTGAGCTTAACGCCATTTACTGCGGAAACTTCCGATCATGAGAATTAATCGCCCGGGAATGAGGCGTCCGCACGAAAACTGATCCATGGATTTAACGTTCTGATGGATTATGCGGATAGAGAACAATGAATATAACTTCCATTATCTTTCGCTAGCAATCGATATTAATGTCTTTCATATATTTAGTTGTATCGTCCTAAGATGCAGTCTTGAATCAAATTGAAATTACTTTTTACTTTATTTCGAATCAATTTTATCCAGCTAGAGAATTTTCAAATCTATGGATGGTGAGATATAACGCAAGCATCATAAAGTATTTTTTCACTTTTTTTTAAAGGCCGCTATTTGCAACATGCAACAAAATACTTTGTGCGAGCAAATTGGGATACGCGATATTAAAATACAGAGAGTAATACTTCAAAGATGATTGAACAGGACTCTCAGTAAAATGGCCATGAGAGCGGATACAAATTTTCTCGTAACAATATTCTCGGTCAAAGGATTACGTCATAAAGACATGCCATTATACATACAGCGATGGGGAAATAGAAGCGAGAGAGGGAGAGGCGCTATATTACACTCTATCGCTATCAGACATGCATGAAGTTCTATCACTCGTGCATGATTGTGAGCGCACCGTAAATGACTAGTGATGCATACGTTTGCATTTTCGCATAGCGTGGCTCATAAATATGAAAGTAAGTTTTGACATCCTCCTTAGAGAAAATCGCGTCAATACGCGACAACATGGTTCGACTGCTAGCTTTCGCCGGATTGCGATTTTAATGTGATTTTTGCCCAATTTAAAATCTACACGCGTAGTCGACACATTCGTCGTTGTCCTATTGTTAAAAATATTCCAAATTTCAACAATTTACTGTCATTCACAAATTGAATAAAGTAAATGTTGAAAAAAAGAAGTTAGCGATTGAATGGAATTGTGCATGATTATTCTAACGCTTCTCTATCATGGATAAAATTCAAAGTGCACTCTATCATTCTGTGGGCAATATTTCGACGACACACGCATCAAGGACTTCACGTTTTATAATTCGGGACGTAGAATTTTCTACATCTATTTATTTTATACGTATTATCGTATAAACTATTATACGTACAATGTTTTTGGTTTAGACACACCAATTTTTTATGCGCGCGCGTTACGCGATGTTATAAAAAAAGAAAAAACAAGAGAGGTATCAAAATATCAAACGGAGAGGAAAGTGGAACAATCTTTTTACGAGAAAACTTACGTTAACCATTTATAGCGTATTTCTTCTGCTTTCTCTCCGAGATATTCCGCAGTTCTCCTAAGAGAGGTAAGCTGTTTTATAAACTTATAAATCTCCCGAGTATATACATATATTTCAAATATACAAACATAAAGAGAGAAGAAGTTTTAAGTTACTATGCTGCATAAATTCCAATGAACTCCTGCGGCGATTTAAAAAAACACAATAAAATTACAGTTACTTCCGTGAACTGGCTCTGTCATCGTTATTATAACAACGTTACGTTCTTCTACTTGGTATACAATTTAATATGCTGCTTTAATCGTAAAGAATACATAAAATTATTTGTTAATGCCGTTCACACAATTCAAAATATCAAAACATTTATAATACTGTATGATCAAATATAGACGTAAATGTATGCTCGGGTTCTAGAATTGATCAAATATTGCAAGCATAATTACATAATTATTATTCGAGACGTCCATAGCTCATGTTAATCCCATTATATGTAGCTGGATATATACAGTGAGACTGCTAAATTTGTCAGATCCCATCTTATTCCCATTGATCATTTATATCTCCTTAATCTCCTTAATAAATTCTTGCATACTAGATCATGTTATATTCTGAGGAAAATCTAACAGAAATAGAGAAATTTTAAAAGGACTCTGTCTGGGAAAATTTCGGTTGCATAGTAACATTCGTAATGTGTCGTAGCGTCTTCCACGGAGACTGTCTACCGCGTTAATATTTTACGACGAAGTCGGCGCAGACTATAGTGGAAATGACACGCGTGTGGCGTCTATAATATTATTGCACATGAGTACGGCAATAGAGCGAGACACATAGGGCGGATCCGTTGTGGAATTAATCATCGCAAAGACCGTGCACGGTATCTATATACGAGTCTGTCGTAACCGAAAGGACCCTTTAACGATATCATTTACTCTGTACTCTGCAAAGCTCGACGCGAAATTTCCGGCACTTTCTAATGCACTTTCGCAATTCTCGGGGCAACAAACATATCCGACATCTACTGAGATTCGTTTGAGGGGATGTCACTGCGTCGTCATAACACATTCACACCATATCTACGATTAGCTAATAAAGTGGAGTGATATTTTCTCGATGCCGGTATCACCAATGTTAGTATCCGCAAGCTGGGAATCGCAAAGCTTAGATCGATGTGTTTTTTTTTTTTTTAAAGACCAGCGTACGGCTTATGTTGGATACGCGTGTGCAAAGTTGGATAACTTGTTTGTGTAAAGAAGTTATCGTTATACAGCGGTATAAAATTGCGAATCTTGCCCGAGGCGAGATTGAAGCGGCACGTGTGCATCCTACATTGTAGCGAGCAAGTCGTAATTACGCGTTGTCGAGAGAACACGTTGTTTCGAGCTCGCGTTAATAACGGGCGCGCGCGGGGCATGATTTATATCGTAGCCTATTTAAGTGGCGATTAGCGCTTCGCACGGAGTTACGCATGCCAGTCGTCCGCTTAACAAGCTTAAACTTAAATTACCGTATTAATCGCACGGGATATCTAACGAAGTAGCCACACCTGAGCGGTCGAGCGGTATCGCAAATATACCGCCTGGTATATTCCCGGAACATCCTAAACGTATAATTGCATTAACGGAAACCTCGCGACCGTACGACATCTTGCCGGTAAATTTGCTCAAGTTGCAGCATCACCTACGGACATATGCCGGCGCGTGTGCCGCGCATACATGCACATACATACATATTTGACAGCAAAGATATTTCAAGGATAAGGGACTGGGTTAACAGAGGAAAAATAGAATCCTAAGGGAGACGTGAAGCATTCGCGAGTGTAAAGAAAGACTGCTCCGATGTAGGCTTGCGCGATCATAAATTCCGCGAAACGACGGTACATCCAGCCAAATTATACATTGCATAAAATATTCCGCCCAGTTTCTAGCCCGAAAGTATTTCGTATGAGATAATATCTTCTTCTCTTCCGGTCTGTTTCTGCTCTTATTCGTTCACTTGACTGTAGAGAGAAAGAAAGGGTGGGAAGCTGGGATTGTATCAGAGAATAAAGATGAATAAATAGAAGGGGAAAAAAAAATTGCTCTCCAATACACATTTATATATGTCAGATAAATGGGAAGAGTACGGAAATAAAACAAAATGATTCAATATGCTAAAGTTATCAAATAATCTCTCTTTCAAAGTAGTAACTAGAATTCTTGTTTTTTGCAGTGCTATTCCCGCGTCGGCACAGTGAGAAACAAAGGTGCAGCGAGAGAATACCGTATTTAATTAGCGTTCCTTCGTCAGTCGCGTCGGAAAGATGAATCCTACGGTCGGGTCGTGCACGGTCACGTATGAAAGACATTCGCGAAACACGGCTTTTATCATGAAAATGTAATGGTATGACTAATTAGTTTTCTAAAGCAGGAAAAGACTAATGGCATTACGTTTATAACTACTTCGAAAGATGCGCCTCTGCAATTAAGATAATTTTTCGTGAGTGTGGAAAAGATTTTATGCTCTATACTTATATAAAAATAGAAGCCAATAAGAAGTCATATGAAGTGAATATATTTTATAGTTACGTTATGAACAAGAGTTGTGCAACGACAAGATGCGCATCTAGAAAATAACATCGTGTCATCATTTCCATTTTCCATCTACATGAAACGTCAGGATACGTTCGTTCCTTGTGAGATATAATAGATACGGTGGTCATATCGTTGAACTACGGAAGATAGTGGGATCAAATTTACTGGACATGTTCAGCGGGCCGTCAAATCGGATCGTATATTAGAACATTTTTTCTCAGACATTCGAATCGAAATGCCTATACCGTGTCGCTAAAAAAAAAAATGAAAAATGAAAAAATATGGCGTCGACTGGATGAAAGCTGCTGCAGTATCGCCAGTATCTCGGATCTTCGATGAAATCAATTGAAAAATTTTTTCGAATCGCACCGAAAAGTTGCATCGAGCTCAGATTCTTTGACGACGATACTCGAACGAATCGGCGCAGCAGGACGCGGCGCGAATCTGTTGCAAGCAGGCAATTGGAGTGGAAAAGTTGGGCAAACGAGAATCTCTCGGTTTAACCCGAACACGAATTGAAAATCTTTCTCCGGCAGGCAGTACTACATCTACTGATGCTTGAACTTCGAAGCGTAGTTAGAGAAGAAGGCATTTTAAATCAAGCATTTGACGTGAATAGAAAATAGATTTTTAATTCCTTTTTTATAGGATAATCTCTCATTTTCGGAGTAAAATACAAGATAATATATAAATATAAATGCGAGTGTAAATTATGTTTTCTCTCATTGCTTTCATTATGAAGAATTAATTAAATATTGCTTTTTTTATCAGTTTCATGAAAATAATCGAATATTCAATTGAGGTTTTGAGAAAACATTTTATCGCAGAGGTGAAGATAAACAATCAAAATACCATTGCCGCTTAAATGTTTCCAACTGCTGCAAGCATCGAACGAGAGGTGAATCCCAACTGAATCAGATCAAAGGATAAAGTCTTGTTTCCATTGTCATCCAACACTTTGATCTCACATATACGCGATACGTTACTCCTCAGCGAAGGACAATGGTATAAAGTTTCTAGTCGTTCTCAATCGCTACGAGTTTTGAAACATAGTAATAGGATTCCTCGCGTCGCGACTCGCGTAACATAAAGGATTTATACAGATACTCACCTGACGTGGAAACAGGGATGAAAAGCAGCTGGATTATCCTGTGCGGAGAAGTTCGGCAAAGTACCATGAAGCAGAGCGAGCCGCACCACAAGAAGTATGCCAAACTGCAAACATTAAACAGTCGATGAATTTTCATATTGTTATAGAGAAGTATTTTTCTTTACGAAACATTCAAGAGTACTTTATACCAATGTGAAATGTAGATTTGAAAGCTTCAGTTATTCTTACACAAGCATAATAAAATTTGTTTCCTTTATATCTTTAAGTACTAATAATTAAGAGGGAAAAACTTGAATTATAAAATATAAATATCTTATATATAGTCATGTGAATATAACTGAATAAATCTGTGACATCGAGAATCAAGTGTCTCTTATTTTGAATTAAGATGAGTTTACATTATTTTAGTTGGGTTATAAATTATTCTTACATTTCAGAAGATAAAAAGAGTGAAATAAAACATAACCATAAGACAGTCTGTACTTTTAGGCTGTTATTCAAATTGTAGCTCATTGATCTACTGCATGATATGATAGAGACATAAAAATTTTATGCAGAAATATAGAAACTTTTATACGATTTTCTATGATACAATAAAATAAATCGACAGAGTTAATGTGTACTTAAAACAAACGGATAATAAAGAGAAAATTTCGCATTTTTTTACATATGTCTATCATGTTTATAATATTGTTATTTTATTTTATTTTCAATTATCAATTTATGAGAAATCCAGTGGGAAAGCTAGTAACAGGGGTCTCGCAATACTGCTACTAATGGGTGCGACATGTATCACAGTCACGTTTTCTTAAATGGTTGAATTAAGTAACGCGATTCGCGAGTCTGAATAGTAAAGAAGGAAACGTATTCGCTTCATAGTCTCCGCCACGTCGAGACGTCGTCACGTTCACGCTGGGGATGACACGGGTCCGTCGTCACATTTCCGTCACGTTCTTCGCAGAGCTCGCTAACTCAATAGACGTCCGTACCATCCTCCGATAGACCACTCTCCATCCCTTATTCCGGAGTTATCCGGGACCATCGCTGGCCCTCTCACTGTCTCTCCGCCTTTGTACCTATGTCGGGGCACCTCTCGCTCACATTCTTGTCGATGGACAGACATAGTGGTGAGTGGTTCTGGAAGAGACGGAGAGCCGGACAATATCTGCCAATTCGAGGTATTCATATCCTCCAGGATCGAAGTCGACAGACTAGGATAGCGTTCATCCTAAAGCGATCGTACGAACACGTCGTATATACGTAATGCCGTCATCGAAACGCCGCATGTACATCCCGTCGAGACGTCCGACATCAGCGATGTCGGTCTTGTTCTTCGATGGGAAGCTCTTGGAATATTGTATTACGCCGCCACGATATCCCGGTTGACCCGCGGAACACGGCGAGCGAGGCGAAAATTCAATTCCGATAAACATCCGATGCGCACGAAATGTCGTATCGCATATCAATGCAGCTTTTCTCAACATTGCAAACATTTAACCATAAATAGATATATGACCATAGTTTTTTTTCTTATAATATTCAAATATAGTAATAAAGAGATAACGTTATGTGTAGTGTAAAGATTACAATACAAGAGATTAATTAATACAAAATTTTATATATACATATATATATATATATATATATATATATATATATATTTTTTTTTTTTTTTTTATAAAGATTTCTTTTATTTTTCTTTGAAAACACGAGTTACCTCGTTACAAGCATGCCCTTAAAGCCTGAAAAAAAGGAAGTTACTTTGTATCATATATATATATATTTCTTATTCTTTTTTTAAAGAGATTTCTTCTAATTTTTATTTCTTTTAAAATTCTACGAGAATGCATCTTTTACTTCTTAGACATTCAATTAAATATTGATTATCGACTAATTCAATAATGGCAAAGTAGCCGAAGAAACCAATTGCAATAATGCATTTCTTATCACTGGTATAACAGTTTCGATCGTAATTTATCTTTGAAGTTACAGTATCTTAAGGAAGAGTAAGACAAACGAGAGTTAAACGCTAAGCTAATCAGATAACATTGAGCATAGCAATGTACAATCAGTAAACAGCACATGTAGCTAATAGATTGGCCTATTGATTAGGTTTGTCACCTCAGTGTTAGCAGTTTGATGCGTCTTTAGCACTTGGCCTTGACTCCAATACAAGAGCAATGACATTTCAGTAACGCAATAAGTTTCGTTACCAATCGTAAAATATTTTGAAGCAAATCTATTTGAGTGTGTGTGCAGATTATTTGTCTCTTAAAAACCGTAATTTGTTAGCAAATCAAATTAATTTATCTGTTTATTTAAAAATTAATTTCGCCGACACAAGTATATAACAAATGACATGTCTATAAGTAATGGTGAGACATTATCCCACAAGTAAAAAACGAGATATCCTTATCTTAATTTACTGAACTAAAGAAATTGATAAATTTGACAGGCGTTTAATGCTGACTGAAATAGTACTTATCCTTGGATATTAGTGGTCTTTCTCGGTGATAAAGACTTGTGAAGTATCGTTGAAAACGACGTACCTGAGAACGTGTAAGTGCTATGGGCTGACGGAAACGACAGGGGTGGAAAGAGATTCGTGATATGTAGATAACTGTGTGAGGGTAGGTCGTGTGCAAGCACGCCTCCCTCGTTCGGCGGCATAAATTAGCATAACTCAGAATCGTGTTCGGTTAAAGTACCCTCTATGCGCAACCTTTATTCCCGTATTGGGCCACGTGATGGGTAGTGTGTTGCTCTGACTTACACAATAGATCTTAAAGATAATGTATTACCTTATTTAGCAATTTCTGCTCCGAGAAGAAAATTGTACAACTTAATTTATTGCCTGATTATTTAAGACGGAATGTTACGGGTAATTTAATGCATCACTTGAAGTTTATTCCATAGAAAAATTAAGATCGTTAAATTATTATTTATATATCATTCTAACAGTTATCAAATATATATTCTTAATAACCACGAAGTATACCTGCTAACAAACTCATAATATATAATAGTTACCAAGAAATATACTATTCTTGAATCTTTATCGAAGGCATTCTTGTCGGTAGGTGTGCTTGATACAATGCCGTCTAAATTAATTCGCGGTAATAAAGATGATGAGCGCCGCGCCGCCAAAGCTTGTGTTTCTCGAGCATGAACATCGACGATCGTAAAACGCCGAAGATTTAATAGCACTTCATAAAATCCTTTTAGGGGTTACATGATGTCATAATAATCGACCAGCATGACTTCGATGAACCCGTACCAAAAATACGGAATTCACACACACACATTCTCTATCGCAATAAAATTTATCATCTCATTTAAGATTTTTTTTTTTTAATTCAAAGTACTTCACACCTTTTGCGTGGATTTTGCCACAAGTGAGCGGGAGAAAGAAAGAGAACTTTTTAAGAAGCTTTATCATTCGCAAAAAAAACTTCAAATCTCATTTAAAAATTAAGTTACCAAAGAGGATTCTACATTAAGCGCATAAAATGTTTGATCAGAATTAAACTGTGCAAATTTTTCAATTCTTTGAAGCATTCAAAGTCTTCTATCAAGTTAAATATTCAATTCAATATTTAATATTTAATGAATATATTTAATTTAATATATAATTTAAATAAATTTTGAATGAAAGACAATTTGCGTGCGTGTGTAATCATGTAATCATCGCTGTTATTTAACAAAACTAATTACCAGAAAGCTGATTATTATTGTGGGTATCAATAGCAAACCCGTGCCATATTCCCGATTGTCGAGCGTCATGCAATACCCATTTATGTGAATCATATATCATCCTGTTGATCTTTTGAAACTGCCGCTATTTCATTCCACGCTTCGCTCGCTACACGGTTTGTCTTGCTGCATAGCAATTCAGGAGGATGTTATTTATTTTCCACGACCGTGAAGAGAAATTCTCAACGTCGAGTGTATCTATGGTAACGATCGTTAAATTTGCTTAAGACGTAAACTGTTGTAAACATCGGTGTCTAACTACAGTTGAGCGATAAAAACGAAAGATATCGGTCGTTAAGAATTAACGATGCGGACACGGAATAGGGGATCCGTGCTAATTCCGCGGATTATAGAAGAGCGACGATCGTGTTTTCTTAGCACGTAGGTAATCCCTTTTAGGAGTAACACCAAGCAGAGAGACACTAGTAGCAGTTATACTACTACAGCACGCGTATATAAAATTACAAACAATCAACAAACATTTGATCAGAATTTTTTTCTTCTTCTTCTATAATTCAATAAATCTTGTGAATAACACAATCAAGGATAAATCAATAGTACCACGATACAATACGGTTCAATTGCCGCCGAGACTTACTGAAGCTTGATTTTTCCATTAATTCAGTTACGTGATAAGTTGAGGGTGCACGGATTTAAATGGATGAATATAGTCATGGGGTATTCCTACAATTCCCTGGATACCAGAAGTGCAGACATTGTCGTTAATACAATAATAACAAAGCCGGTCGTTCCTGCCACTCGTCTGCAAATCCTATAAGGTTTTCACACGTGACTGAACGTACATGGTGCGTTAAGAGGGTCCAATCCACTTTGACCATTACCTACTCATCTATACTTCAGATTGTTATAGAGTCAATCTTCTCCTCGCAATTCTTTAAAAATGTTACTGATTGCCATCAACAGTCGAAATTAAAGTAATATTGATTTATTGACATGGAACTTATCACCGAACTCGCTTCAAAACAAATTCAAAAATAATTTTATCATGACTATTAATTTAGCGAGTTTCTATTGCGAGTTTAAAATACATAATACACTAATTATCATTATTATGTGTAAATATACAGACGCACAGATTTATTTTAACTTACTGAAACGAGTAATGCTGCTGCACGCCTTGAGAAATATCTAGAATCGTCGTTCCATTTGGCTTCGAAAATAGACCTGAAAAATTAATGTATAACGCATGAGTCTAAAGACTATTTTTCTCTCACAAGTTATATATTACGTTTATTATTATAACAAATAAACTTAATACTTTGCTAGTATAATATTACTAAGAAATTAATAATACATATGATTAACATTTAAAAAAAGTTAAATTTCAACATGGAATTCAAATATTCTAAAATATTTTGACCGTATTTTTCACCCCGTCACGAAAAGCACATTTACCGCTTTGAAACATGCGACATAGAATTTATATTAATTTAATTGTCAATTACATACAGTCACGTTATCTTTGAGAAGTAAAGAAACTTTGTATTTCACGATTTTTTTTCGTCTAAGATCCAACTATTGCAAATCTCTTAAATTAATTACATTAATTCTAACGCATATAAGTATAATTGAAATCAAGATAACTATATCAATCTAAAGTTTACTTCGCGACATCAAACCTTACGTTTCCGCGCTGGAAGGTACATTACGCTCCAGCGCTGAGGGCTTAAACACTTACCTCTTGATTGAATGCCAGGAACGACAGAGATCGTAAAGAAGGTTTAGTGCCAGAACAGTAACGCCAGTTTCCTTCGCCAACATCGACAGGGCACCCAGACAAACACTGGACCATATGTAAGCCGTCTGTTGACTGTAAAAAAAAAAGAAATTTAAAAATTAAATAAAAAATATACAATCATAAACTGAATTATATTTCCTACTTGGAATAGGAGAACATAAATCAATGACTATTTTTATTTTCAGACTTGTTTATAAATATTGCAGATTTAATTATAAAATAATTATAAACTCAAAATAAATAATAATTATAAATTAATAGTTAACAAACAAGCGTTCTTCAATTGTGTCAAATACGACGCTTTGTAATTTCTTTTTATTACAAAAAAAATATACACCAGATTCAATATTACACGAATAAAAAATTCTGTAAAAAATAAAAAATGTATTTATAATATAAAATCTTTTCATATAATTTTGTTATTTTATTATAAAATAAATATGTGCAAAATCTTGTATAAAATAATTTAAAATTTCATAACGAGAATCCTTTACGTAATAACAAAAATATATTGATCTCTATAGATATATTTCGCACACATGTGATATCTCTAATATATTTTGTTCTTTGTATCGAATATAAATACCAATATTAGGAAACAATTCTCGCATAGATCCAAAGACATGTAGGATTTATTCGTTTACGTTGGTTGACGTCTACATCAATCTATGTCAAGTGACAGATCCGTTACAAGATGTCGCTCGGGATTTTAGGAACAACAGGACCGATGCGAAACTGATCTGCCGAGACAAGATCATAGCTCCTCGGCAACTCACAGTTAAAAACAGGCTAAAAGTGCCGCGGCAAAATGAAAGTGTTTCTTTCAATTTACATCAAAGCTTTCTAAGCAAGATTAATAGCAACTCGCCACAGCTACAGCGGAGAGCAAGCGAGAATGTACTCATTCTGTAGAAAGGTAAAGCGGTCGAGGATCAAGAGAACGACGAGAGTCTCGAGTAAGTTAAATATATAATTGGAATTAATCATCGGTCGCTTACTCGCCAAGGGATTTAAACGCGCAACGTGAATCGTGAGAGACACTGAATAAAGGTGGAGAATCTAAGAGACACTAGTTAGAAAAAAAAGAAGGTAAGCATAGAGCGAGGCGATGAAGTAAAAGTGGAAGGAAACGAAGGAGAAAGAGTACTCAAAGGCAGCCAAGAGTAATCAATTTATCAGGTTCGAAGACAAGCATCTTACCCTCCCGGCCAGCCATTGGCTGCTCGACGTTAGTCCTACAGACGGAGTTTTATCTTCTTGTCTTCCGCAACCGCTCTTTTATGTTGGAATACGACATTCAAGGAAGCTTTTTAATGCTTTTGCAATTGAGTTCGTTTTTACAGATTCTTCGTCTATATTAAATTTGTTTTAAGTATTACCCCCGAATGTGTGCCAGACTTTCCTATAGTTAATTAAATTTATTCCAGAAATGGTATAAGAGAGAGAGAGAGAGAGAGAGAGAGAGAGGCGAGAAATACATCTACAGTGAATTAAAATAAATATTGCTAAAATAATGTCTTCTCAGAAACATAATTGAAATTGTTTTGTGCGTAAAGTCATTCTTCTTCTAGCTCTAACACTGAAGATCGATGTGAGCGACCCCCGGGGCACATTTACGACGCTTCCGCATAGCTATGCTAGTAGTTCGTGGAGTAAATTAGTTTAGTTTATAATTTTCAGGTTCTATGTTCATGAAAACGAATGGGGGTCGCTATTTTGGCGTCAGACTAGCGTCGTCGCGACATTAAGCGTCGCTCGACATTCTTGACGTAGACGCAGTTTCTAAGTTCCCTCGAGTTTACAGGAGGGTATTATATATCAACTTCGTAACTCATTAGATATGTATGTGAAAGAGAACAAGTTTTCTTTTTTCAGCACAATTACCAAATTATCTTTTGTGTAACTCCAAAATTTTAAATTTGTTATACATATTTTATATGAAAAGATACAATACATAAATATAAATTTAATATATAAAACGTTTATGCGTTCGTATTTGCATTAACATGAAAAAGAAATTAAATACAAACAATCAACTAGCCAGTAAGTCTATAAGAGTTTAAGCCATACTCACCCGTGATAGGCAAGGAAGGACAGTAAAAAGAAAATGCACGCTAGAACGTCCGCTCTGCCTACGATCCCAGTCACCTGCAACATAAAAGGAGATGAGATATAGTAATAATGTTACAGCGTCACAGTAGCGTTGCTGCGATATATAAATGTCAGATATAAATATTTGCATTTTTATAATGTATATATATCTGGTGTGTATATATATCTATATACTGTACTAGGAAGTTAAGACTCAAGCACGTGTACTTCATCTTGTACTCAGAAATTTTATTCAACAAGTTGCGGTTATACGAAAATAACTCGTCGTTTGAGTTTCTCTTAGGAGCGAAAAGAAAGTGGAAGTGCAATAGAGGCAAAGACTGTGCCTAGATCCTCTCAGAAAATACGAAGCGACAGCATGATATTGGATTTAGTGGTGTAAAACGAGAAGGCTGATCCGGAAGATATGTGAAGAAGCCAAACCAAAGATCTTTGTGGCAAACGAGATGACGGACAAGACGAGCGAGTACATAAAAGTGCGAAAGAGAAAAGAAAGTGGGCAGTGTTAATATTGTATCCAAGTTATCGACAGTCTAGCATGAGTGAATAACCGATATTCTCAAGGATCAACTCCAGCTAGGGAAGCCGACCTGCTACCGGAAGCTGGATTTACCCGTCGTACTCATCTCTCTTCCTTCCTTCCTTCCTTCCGTCCTACTAGGCTAGAGTACCAGGTGTACCTCTAAAATTTACGAACCCCGTCTATCACGCCGGAACGACCAACCTCCCACCTCTTAACGAATTAATTCCACGGAGAATCGCAGGGATACAATCTGCCAGGGCAACAGAAATGCGAGACAGAAATGGTGAGAAATCAGCGAATTTCCGGTATAAAGTTCTTTCTGAAGAAACATCATAGAATTCTTTTTCTTAAATCGAAACATTTCAGTATTTCAAATATCTTATTGAGATAATATATCTAAACACTCTAGCCATTGATGTGTATATATGTTTGTGTGTGTATTTGAATTTAGTATTAATTACACGTACACAACACATATTGATTAAACACACATTTGATTAAAATGTCATTAATTATATATTTGAACAATTTAATGTAAATATTTGAAATAATTCTCGCATAATAATATAGCAAAGTTAGTTAAATAGTAAAGTTAAATTAATCATAGTTATTAAGCGCGAATTGTTGATACCTTATTTAGTAATATATTATTCTCCGATACGCTTGGCACATAATTCAAAGATGCATTAAAAATAAACGATATTATGATTCATAACCAACGTTAAAATTATTATTGAGAACTGTAATTATAGATATGTACGAGAGACATTGATGAATATATGCTTTCAGCGGCGCGCGAAAACGGAGATGCAATTAATCATTCAATTACAGCAAAACAGCACCAGGAAGAAGAGTAACAATTAGCATTTATCCTTCAACTGCGGCATGAGTACGAAATATGTGAAATACATCGGCAAAATAGTATACTTTTAACGATTCATATAAAAAAGGAAAGAAATATTTTATCAGTATTACTTAAAATGTCTTCGAAAATATTGTTTTGTATCCCGAACATTCAAACAAAGTTCGCAGAAAATAAACACTGAGTTGACATTTCATTACAATCTCATCCTTTTTTGCCATATCTTCATCCTTGCTGCTCGTGTAGCAAGTGGACCCGAAGGAAATCTTGCTCGGGGAAACAATACTCCGTCAATGTCAAGGGGAATGAGAGCCGAGTTCGAAGCAGGCTCTCTCTGCTAGAAGCATGGAACCATAACCGAAGGGTCTGCTTAAGATAACAGAGATTACGATGACCACTTTGCGATAGATTCCTTCGGCACCTGTCAGATTTATGGCGAGGGATAATGGGCAATTCTCCAAAACAAAGAATGGCCAAGAGATATTTATCCTCACTTGCAAATAATGGGCCTTTAAACAATGGAGAAATAAATGCAAAGTGATGCAGAAGATAAATGAATAATAAAATCGTTTATTACTCATTTCAATGGTCTCATAAAAAAAAATGTGTTTTCTTCAATTTGTATTACACAACAATTATTCTCATATATTTCATCCATATATTTCCGAAAAGTCAGTAGACTGCTTTTTATTCTTAGGCTGCAAATAAATACATATGTAAGCATATTTTTTTCTAAAAGATAAATTCGACATAGAAGAAATAGGGTGACTAAAGACAGCGATTTGTGATCGCTTGCGTTACACGCATAACTCGATGGATTTACGATAGAGACAGATGCGAGCCAGTGAGAAGGCTGATGCCGTTCATTCGATTCGACACCAGTTTGCTCTAGTTTGTACTTAGTCGAACTCCATTAGCATCTCACTCGTTCTGGAGTTCTAATTGATTATATGAAGCGCTACACTTTCTTAAGAGTTCGCTTGTTATTTTGAGATAACTCAAAGTGTCCTAGTTTTCTTTAAGTTTTCTTCCTCAATACTTTTCTTTTTATATCAATACATTTTTCTTTTTTTACTCATTTCAATGGTCTCATAAAAAAAATGTGTTTTCTTCAATTTGTATTACACAACAATTATTCTCATATATTTCATCCATATATTTCCGAAAAGTCAGTAGACTGCTTTTTATTCTTAGGCTGCAAATAAATACATATGTAAGCATATTTTTTTCTAAAAGATAAATTCGACATAGAAGAAATAGGGTGACTAAAGACAGCGATTTGTGATCGCTTGCGTTACACGCATAACTCGATGGATTTACGATAGAGACAGATGCGAGCCAGTGAGAAGGCTGATGCCGTTCATTCGATTCGACACCAGTTTGCTCTAGTTTGTACTTAGTCGAACTCCATTAGCATCTCACTCGTTCTGGAGTTCTAATTGATTATATGAAGCGCTACACTTTCTTAAGAGTTCGCTTGTTATTTTGAGATAACTCAAAGTGTCCTAGTTTTCTTTAAGTTTTCTTCCTCAATACTTTTCTTTTTATATCAATACATTTTTCTTTTTATTCTTGGAAGCGTGGACTATTATTCAAATATTAATAACCCATTGACTAACGTCAGAATATCTGTGCCAATTTTATGCACATTATAAAATTACTAAATAATATTATCTTGAAATCTTTTATATTTTTCATTTTTTATTATTTTTCAAAGATATTTGAATAATATAATTAATTATTAAATTAGTTATTAAATTACATATTTTTACAAAACTGAAATGTCGCTCGTATTTATAATATTCTTGTCGTGTAAATAGCAATCTAACAATAAGATTAAAAGTATTTATTTTTACGTTTCTCTCAGTTTTATTTTTGTATGCAATAGCAAATCAAGCGCGCGTATCTACGTTTATATAATATTAATATTCTCACAAATTAATTAATTAATATCGTCATTTAACGCGGTTAAACCACAGGTGACAAGAGGAGAGAAAAGTAATGATGCGTGTCAACGATGACATGCAACGATCTGCAACATATGTCAAATTTTCAGTGTGAGTGATAAGCTCTCTGTGCGGGATGATGTCACAATCAATTGTACATTTAGCGAAAGATAATTCTGGTAGAGCACACGATGAGTATAACTATTTTAATTAGGTGATTCGCAAATATTTCGCGAATGATTGAAACAAGTAAGTAAATCAAATTATTATTTTAAATGTCATATCCTGCTCCATATGAATCAGTTAACTCATATTCATATATACTACACATAACACTCATTATATTATATATCACTTGAAACTAAATTAGACGAATGAAGATGAAGATGTAACTCTCTCTCTCTCTCTTTTTTTCTCTTTGCTCCACTTTGATCAGCATTAATATTTCTGACTTTGCGATATACGTACGTTTTAACGATGATATAAAATTAAACGTTCAAATACTATACGATGGTATGAGGAAAGACGTATATTCGGCTCAATCCCTGGCGTTGAATCTTCTGTGAAGGAAACACTCCACGAACCGGAACGATTGCGCAGCTTCATGTTTAATTTGGCCTAAAACCGAGCTCTGCGGGTAAATCCATCCCCTCGAACACGCCCGTCCCTTTCCGCGCGCTCACAAAATTCATCCCTTCCGCGGAACCGACGTAAACCGATAGAAGGGTTCGGGCCTCTTTCACTAGCAATATACACTGATACGGCAACGACGTCGTAACCACGAAACGACAGCTCGGTCACTTGGTTCTCATGCTGCAGTCTAAGCGCCAACGAGGCGCTTCTCACGAAAGAGAACATTGCCGTGAAGTATAAAGGCGTTAAGAGAGAGAGAGAGCATCTTGTTTGAAATGTACACGGTAGCGTGATTACCTTACGCCGTAACAACAAGTCAATTGCAGTAAACATGCTTGCAATGCGTATGCCTAGTAACAACGAGCCTTAACTTAAAATGCTTTTCATTTACAGTTAATCATCTCCGTAGATTAAACTAAAGCAAGAAAAAAGCCGCCAAGTGTTACATTTAATTACATTTTATTTGAAAATAATAATAAAAATGATAAGAAAGATTAAATCACAAAAATTTACATTAAATTATTTTTCTGTTATTATATATGATAATCACATTTTTTTAGATATCATATATAAGATAGAATTATTTCTCTTTTAAACTTATATATTTATATATAATA